TGGGGTTGTTATACACAAGGGGAGGGGCTGGGGCTACGGGAGAGTGAGGGAGGGGGCTGGGGCTACGGGAGAGTTTATGTTTTCTTTTTCTTCTTTAATTTTAAAATGCCAATTATGTCCCAAATTTGTTAGTGGGTATGATTTGAATGTGTATGTGGAGTGTTTTGTTTTTATTTAGGTGTGAAAATCTAAAAATGTGCTTTCATGTTACTCTTTTTTGTTTTGGTACAACCCTTGTATGGTATGTTTGGATGTTATAACTTTGAATATGCATGTAATGATGTGTTATGTATAGAGAAATTTACCTAAATAGGACTAAAACATAATGACTTTTCCAATATAAGACCATATGTTTTTATTTCCCAATCTAGGACTTTTGGTCATTATCATTATTCAACTAAATGTTCATGATTACAAGACATTATTCTTTCCACTAGGTCATTATTAAGTCCTATTTAGAGAATAAAAAAGTTTAAGTTCTACATTAGGAAAGTCATTATGTTTTAGTCCTATTTAGTGCAAATTTCACTTATATGAATAAGGCTTTGATTATGATCAAAATGTACAGATGGATGATTTTTCTGAAAATCGTGAGTGGATATATAAGAGATTCTTGTAAGTGCTAATTACATAAATGTAGATAGTGATAACATTAACTCATTTAATAATAACTCTATTGTTTTAAAATTAGAGCCAAAGCTTGGACGAGGGAGAAGATTCTACCTTTGTCTCGTACACCCACACCAAAAATCATGACAAAAAAACGTGGATCACCGAAAAAGCAGCGACAGTGGCAGTAAGTCATAAGCTTTTGAAATAATTTATATATTTGTGTGTGTGTAATAATTTATATGTACAAGTATGTATGAGTTATTTTGTTATCCATAAATTATGTAGGAGAACTATAATAGTTTGAAAGAACAAGCTATTCAGGAGGGGATTGATGTTGCGCCAGGAGAACTATTTTATGTGGCAGCTGATGGACATGATGCAAAAAATCGTGTTTTCGGTACAGGTTCAGCTGCGCGTAAAATTCCAAAGAATACTCTGAGACAGAGCAGACGAGCCAGCACGAGCGGTATCTCCGACATGGAGAACAATGAAGTTCTTAATTTGCGCAAGGAATTGCTAGAATTCAAAGCAATGGTTGAAGCAAGGGATAAAACGATATTGGAGGAACTAAAAATGCTCCGCGGTCGTCATGGTGATGGTCGATTTGATAATGAAGATGGTGGTGGTACAGGTGGTACGACGGGCTGTGTTTGAACATTGTACTTCCCTTATTTATTATTGTTAAGTACCTTATATTTGAGGCATAATACATTTTGTGGATTGGAGACTACTCTGATTATGATCAATATTTGGTTTGTTTGAAAATTCTCATTGTTCATTTCTTGTGTTTTTTTCCTGTTTCTGTCTTTTGTTCTAGTTGGTATATGATTTTTGGCTAATTTTGTAGCTGTATGGTTGCCTGTAGAAACTGATTTCTGCCTGCAGAATCTGGTGATGTTGCGACGGACATATTCCGTCGCAAACGTTTTACGTGTTATATTGGGAGTTGCAAATGCCGTCGCAAATCCACTGCGATGATTTCCAGCCGTCGCAATTCTCTGTCGCAAATATGTCTACAAGAACATTTTGAATCTCTTGTAAAGTCCGTCGCAAATCTACGACGACTAAAGGCCGTCGTAAATATGGTCGCAGAGTTGCGACGGAATGGTCGCACGGTGGTTTGCGGCCAAAAAACTACGACGGAATGAAAGTGGTCGCAAACGCCGTCACAACTCTTCTTTGCGAGAGAAAAGAAGCCAATTGCGACGGAAATATTCCGTCGCAAAAAGCTAAAATTCTTGTAGTGATAGGACAACAACACCACCATCAAAGCAACAACAATAATAAGAACACGATTTATCACCCTTTAGAAGTTTTAAGACAAAAGCACCAACATTATGAACATGAACACAAACTATTTTGCGCATAACAGAAACTACCTGTAGCTCAGCATGTTCAGGATCCACCCAAGTCTTGCCGTCGTGCTTCTTTGTCTTTGTGTGGATGATAACCTCATCCAACGACACAGACCCCCCTTTCTTCTTAGCCTTCAAATTTCAATGAACATGTCCATTAAATTTTACATTTAATGTCCACCAAATTAAATAACAAGTGCAAAGCTATTATTTTATAAGATATATCTTACCAATCGATTCATATTTTCAGAAAATGGAACTGAACCTCCACAATACGTCCCAAGAGCAGGACCATCCTCTTTTCCCTTCCTTCTGTTCTTCTTCTTAGTCTTACTCAACTCCAGAAACTCCGGATCCTCTTCCCAAACCTATACTTGTATATTTCATAAAAATTACTTGTACATAGCGATACGATTTCGTATGAAAACTATTACTAATTTACCTTCTTCAACTGCTCAAATGGCCTCGGGTCCTTCTTCTTCTTCTTCAATCGACTTGGGTTCCTTTGATTGTACGTAAAATTCGCATACCGTTCAGCAGCTTTCTTGAGAAAAGCTTTCCTCAGCCTACCCTCATCGATTGACGGATCCACTCTAGCATTTTTCTACATTGACATCATAGAAAAGCAAATAATTTAGATTCTATTCACATATATTAATTTTCTTGTGATCAAAAGAAGTTAAAAAATAATTTTTCCCAAAAAACCTTGAACTCTCGATAGTAGAACTCCTTCGTCGTCGCTGAGACTTTGCCCCACGACATGCCAGTTGTGTCCGTCCTCTCGTAGAATGCCGGTGTGATAAGACCAGCACCAGCGCTAGTGATTGTAACCCTACAAACATATATAAGTAGTGAACATAAAATCGTTAGGTATTTGTAAATGTTTTATGTCATACCATAATCTTCAAATGTACACCGTACTTACTCGTCATCCGAATTGACATACACGAATTGACCCCGATGACCGGGACCCTCGTGATATCTACCCTCCTCGTCCTCGTGATCGCGGTCCTCACCATCTCGAACCCCACCACTGTGTCCATTGCCAACGCGGTCCTCGGAGTTGTGGTCATCGCCACCTTCGTCCTCCTGATCCTCAGTACTCTCCCCGACCCTAGATGCTATTTACACAATAATACAATAATACATGCATTAAAAAGAGCTATTAAAAAGCGTAGACATTGTTTTAGTTTCTTGATAAATGAAACATCACTCTAATGGCTTATCTGTTGGAAATTTTACTATATTAGTCTCTAAGAGGAGAGCTACATACCTGACGTACAAGGGCCAGATGGCGTAGTACGTGGGGTGGAGGGGGACACCTGTGTGTCAGTGAATGGACTCGAGGAAATAGAGGGAGTGCCTGTGGATGTAGTGGCTGTGCTCGATCCCTGGCGAGAAGAGGGTCTCCATCTACCAATGACGGACCTCCTCAAACGTGCCAACACCTCTCTATCAGTCTTCGTGGGGGGAGGAGGGTTCTCATTATCGCTCATTTGTACGACAATCTTATTAAGCCACAAATAACAATCATTTAACTACAAATACAAATGTATAATGCACT